CTCTAATTATCAAAGCCTGGGGCGCGCGATAGACTTACCTCCACATGGTGCACCCTGGGCGACGTATACTCATACGGCAAAAAAAAGTCTATTAACTGGCAATTGACTTCAAACTAGCATGACCCCACTGTATGATATATTCGACCACTTCCACAGTACTCTTCTTACCCTTTTTCTACCTTTGTGTTTGTCTCTTACATCTTTGAAACACTCTCCTGTTCCCCCCCCCCCCTCGATATTTTTCAATTAGATGTTCCTTCCCCTCTGTGAAGTCGGAAGTCAACTAAAGGGCTAATGATAACCATCAAAACGCCTACCATTTGATATAAATAAACTTATCAAAACCTCATCCAACTTCTTTCTTCCTTTCTATTAAATTGTACCCCGGTTATGCTACACACATTCATCCAAATAAACACTTTGAAACAATAATTGCAAAGATTGTTCTTTCTATAAGGAAATTTTCTAATCCAATATTGATCGAATTTTTAAAAGGAACTTTACCAACAGGTAATAAGACCACTTTATTTGCCAGTCACGCAATCTCCTGGACGTAAAAATAACCAGAAACTTAAGAACTCAACTCCAAGCCCTAAGTAGGTTTAACATCGAAATTAAGAACCGCAGAGACTAACAGTTGCAATGTAATTTTACGATATTTTTTACTTTAAATAGTTAATATAACATGAATTTGAAAATTTGAATGAAGAAAGAGGTTCCTGGTGTCATTTATTTATTCACAACCCGCAACAGCTTGTTGTCGGCACAAATTATGAACTAGAAACGTATTCAATAATAGTAAAAGCAAATCAACTATTGTTACCGTTCTGTGATGGGTATTTTTAGGTCTCCCACCCCTCCCCCCCCCCCCCCCCCCCCCACCCACTTTTTCGAGCAACATCCATTTGATATATTATCGGCTGAAATAGCAAACACCCACTACAAATCAGATGACCCAATTTCAAAATGACAATAGGTTATCGGGAATCCATCTACTTTTCACTACATTAATTTGCTTGGAATTTAAACACAGCAAAGAAAAACAAACAGACCAAAGGACTGTACATTAGGAAAGAAGAGATTGCAAATTGTGTTACTGACAGTAAGCAGGAATCGTACCGGTAATGCGCACCTTTTGCTTTATAAAGCGATAACTAAGATACTACACGATTGAATTAAACACAGTTTCAATTTTAGTGACATTTTTTAGGAATAGGCGTTGTAGAAAGCAATCGAAACTATTCAAAGGCATAATCAATAATATGAGCATTAGTGCATCCCATCCTACAAAGTCCATAATTACCCACTAACAATGAGAGAGGGGGTCATAACGTTTGTTAATTCATAATTCAGCAGAATTATACACTAATGGGAAAGTGTGCTCGAATAGATTTCCGGTTACTGATTTCTTCACCTCCCTCCCACAGCGAAAATGTGAGACTAAACCCCCCCCCCCTCCCATTGCATGTGTGAATTGAATGCGCAAATATGATTGCTGCTTATCTAAGCCGACTCTCGGAAGTAACGAGAATCCAACCCCAAAATGTTCAGGGCATTTGATCGAGTTCACCAAGAGTGCACTCGTAACCTCACACCTCGTGTGCACCAACTACCGAATATTGAAATTTAAGCTCAGACTTGACTACTTAAGACCACCAGTAATTATTGGCCTTCCAGTTAGCCAATCATTTATCAAATGTCCAATCGTATTTAAGAATAATTTATTTTCTCAATAATTGACCTTCATCTGGCCTGCAGGGCTTCCTCCCCCCCCCCTTTCTTTCTTCGGTCTGAGAAGTTGTAAGTAAACTCATCGGATTAGTTATAAAAGTGCTAGCACAATCGAAGCCGCTTAACAATGATGCATGATCTTACGAGAGTATATTAAGCAAGGTAATTGAATGGACAGATTTGATCATTCTCCTGCTTTAGTATTCAATCCTGGTTGTGAGTTCTAAGGGAACACATTAGGAGTGAGCATATCCCCGCGAAATGAAAATATTCCCCTGACAATAACGGATTTTGTAGTGCCAACAATCATCAAATAGTTAGAACATGGAAAGTTGCACAGAAAAGTCTATTGATTCATTAATTTGAGGTCCGCGTGCAAATATCGATTTTTGATTTATTGACTTTTTATTTTGGTATATTTCGACCCTAGTCATTTATTACACACGATTAAACAATATGAGCAATACCAATAAATACCTCGAAGTAATTAGCACTAATTCATTGGTTCTATTCCAATTTTAGAGATACTAGTTCATTTATAATTAATATAAGGGATCAATTTAATTCACACTCACGTAGCTTCCCCAGATCGAAGCATGAGTCCATGAAGAGTGAAGAAGAGAGTGGCAGAGGAGACCTTTTTGGAGGCTGCACGCAAGTTGACCTTGAGATTGTTCTGAGTGGGAAGGGCGGAGGCGAATTCGGCCAGATTAAGATTACGAGTGGCCAAGACTCGACGCCGGGTTGTAGCATTTGGATGTAATTCCTTAAAGTCCTCCGCAGATACACCAACCTATAGGAAAACGATGATGCATTACTAATAAATAAAGCCCTTCATATGTTGACTTTATTTTCTATGTGAACACCTAAAGTTCAAACCCCACAATCCTGAGATAAAAAAAGAGATTTCATAAACAGCAAGGAAAAAATATTTTTCCAAAAATCCTCGTAGGCCTGCATTGAATGATTGCTAAGGCTTTTGGTTTGAGCCTAGTGAAAACGCAGTTTGAGCACAAGATTCCAGTTAAGCAAGATACGAATTTAGCCAAAAACCTGAATTAGAAGGCGGCTTCTTCAAATATTATAGCGGAAGGAATGTTTAACTTACACCTTCACTATCCCTACCATCCACGAATCTTATTCAAAACAAAATATTGTTTTGACTCAAAAATCAAAAAGAAAATGTGCGAAAATCAAAACCGGCTACGAAGTTTGGGGGTTACGGATTTGATGTCAATTGAGGTGCATACTGCGAGCAGAAGGACTAATTTTGCTAAAATAGTGGTAGAATTTGATTTTCGCTTCAGGAATAAGCCACAATGCTACCTTTCTGATAAAAACAAGATGTGATAAAATGTTTTCATAAGGTGATCGAATGCTCATCCTACAAATTGGTTTCGACACCGCTCATGTAAATAAAGATATCGAGTAAAACTTAGAATGGAGGTAGAATTAAGGGCAAAATTCCAACTGGCAAGAACCCGAAAAAAAATTTTAAAAAAATCGATTTTATTTATCATTGATGGGGAAACCCTGAGTGCCCTTAGAGCTCTTCAATGTCATGGTGAATCGAAACTCTTTAATTTGAAAAAAAAATCATTATAAAATTATTCTATCTTCTTAATTAAACAAAACTATTTTAACCCACACAAAGGCAGAAAAGCAACTTTCGTTGTGAGAAACAGGCAACCTGTTTAACATTTGCCTAGTGGGCAATTTATTGCCTCATGCAGGAAAGCTTGAATTTTAAGATTTACCTACCCCCCCCCCTGATGCAATAACCAATTTCCATTAATATATTCATCTATTGAAAAATACCAAACGTGGCACCTTACTTTGCTATCTGTCATCAGAAGCCAAGAAATCATAACGGAATTAGGTTGTGCATGTAACACAGCAGATCTTACTAGAGACTACCTGGAAACTGATTAGGCCAACGTATGAACTAACGTTGGTTATTTTAGCAAAAAGAGCGGTGCATGATTGTCTATCTTTTAGGCATTCGGATTTCAATTAAATAATAAAACTAACCAAAATATGACAAAATGGAAGCCATTTCGCTAGAATTTGAGAACAAATATTGAACGAGATTATTACAGGAGAGGCCGTTCCTAAACTGACTGAAGATAAAATATAAGCTACGCTTGTGTTGAAGTGGATTGAAAATACCTAAAATCATAATTACACACATAGCCCACGTGATAAAATGTACCCGAAGTTAGTTATTGTACAAAACAAGGAGTAAACACAAAATGAAAATGCGTATTCGATGTTCACAACATCCAATATAGCAAAAAAGTTAAATCCATTTGAAAGGAAAGATCCGTTATTATACACATATTTTGAAACCATAGTAATTGTATTAAAAAATTATATATTACGCAAAGAGATGCTTCATATTCTGCTAACTAACAAAACCATAAAAAGACACACAAAACATAGTAATATAAGCTTACATCCTCTACTTGGAATGTCCATTCCTTGTCATCAAAGGCAATGCTATTCTCATTACGGTAAAGTGTTGTTATAACCTCCAAGTTGTCTGGTAAAGTCCAAGTAAATGACAAGGAGGACTCGTTTGTTTCCGATTTACGCAAATCTACCGCCTAAAAAATTGACAATTAAATAAATCTCCGTAGAAAATGCTTCTTAATTTTGTTTCATAAATCAATATGTAATGTTTTACTAATTACTTTTGATGTGCATCGCCTGCCTCTGCGAGTAAAAACAACTACCACTCCCATAGGACGGTAGCCCTTTTCAAAATTTACTGTTAATTCCTCCAATGAAACGGTGAACTGGAATTTGGCAGCTTTCATGCCAATCCGCTGGATCCGTTTCCACAAGCTCATTTTTACAAAATCGCCAAATCAGTTTGAATTAAGCGACAAACGCGTTAGAAACTCAAACGACCTTGCATTTTAATGACCAAACGAAAGGGATTTATCGTAACTAAATTTTCGTTTAAATATTAAAATAAGTTCAATTTCAAATGACTGCAAAATATTTGTAATCTTTTGATAACATATTTTTTCAGAGATCATCTGTTTGACCTTAGGAGTGTGTGCTAACTGTCTATTCACCGAGCACACTATCCTTATATCACTGCAATGGTTAATAAATTAATACATGTTTCCTTATGCCTTACATTTTAGAGTGGTCCAATTTTAGTAGGTCTTGGTTTAGCTGCTATTGGGCTGATAGGCCGTCAGCTGACCAAACAAATGAGCTTAAAGAAGGTGCAAGACTTTGTCAAAATTGCTGGTTTTGTGAGTTTTCGGTTTCCTTATTTATTTTTTTACATTTCTAGACATCATCGAAGTATTATAAAGGTGGGTTTGAACCGAAAATGTCCCGTCGTGAAGCTGCACTTATTCTCGGAATTCCGTATGTTTGATCCAGCTTTTAGCTCCTTTACTTCTTGCGCTTTATTTTCTATCCTTTTCTTTAAATTAGTCAATCTTCAAATAAGGCCAAGATCAGGGAGTCACATAAACGAATCATGCTGATTAACCATCCTGATCGAGGTATGTTTTTGTGTTTTTCTCTAATTCCCATCGGCTTATATATTGTGTAAGTGAGGTAGGAGTAATTAATTTTTGATTAAATATTTTAGGTGGTTCTCCCTACCTCGCAGCTAAAATCAATGAGGCCAAAGATTACCTCGAGAATGATAAATAAACCCTTCTCTAACCCCGTGTATAGTATTACTATTTCCCCAATTTAAATAAAGACAGATCAGCCTGTACGTACTTTATTCGTTTATTTTGTTTTATTTATTATCGTTAATATAAATTGTTTCTCACAAAAATAGATTAGATGTATGTGATTTAATTTCCGACGAATTGTCCATCTTCAATTCGATACTGCTGCTGTTCAATATATCCAGGTAAATTTCTATTATAAGTTGTCATCCCATAATTGGGCCCATTCGGAAGATAGCCCCCTCCTGTTATATTAGACGTTCCTGAATTCGTTGTTGTTGTTGTGGCTCCCGTTTCTCCTCGTCTAATTCTAGCTTGAACTTCAAGTTGTAGTTGAAATCTTCCCGAAACCACTACATCTTCAGCTCGCACGTTACCGTTCTGTGAGTCCCACTGATGGCTATTGGCACTTCCAGCACTTCCCATTGGTTGGAGCCCATAAGTTGCTGTCGAATCAGAATAGAATTCAGTTTGATAAGGTCCCGGGTTATATTGGCAGGTGTCTTCATACCTTATCCAATCTGTTTGCCCCTGGATTTGATAATTGGGATTGGTCTGGGGTAATTGTTGAAGATGCTGGTTGTGATTATAGGGATGTCGAAGTGTTGGGCGAAAAAACATGTCCACGACAGGAGGTGGTGCCGTAGTGGGGGGCCAGTAGCCGGTTGCAAGGAATTTAGAGGGTTGCCACGGTGATGGGGATTGGGTGCTTACTGAGGAGGGTGTGTGTTGGTAGTAGGATAAATGAGTGATTTCTTCTGTGCCAACTGGCGGAGGCGGCTCCTTTAAACATTCCTTTATGTCTTCTACAGGTTCACGATCCTGAGTGGGTTGGACAGCCGAAGGACTGAAAATAGAAGAAATGCCTACGTTGTTATTAATGATTCAGATGCTTTGTTGTGCAACAAACTTTGCATTTTCTACTTATATATATTTCAGTAGAGTTGAATCCTTCGTAAGGTATAAAGCCTTCTACAACTTAAGTTAGGTGTTATTATCGAATAGCATTAAACTAAGTGATTTGATCTAACACTATTTCTGATGCAAAACTGATTTTTCGGATTTGTGTCGATTCTCGACACTTTCGAAATTCGCTCGTGGTGGAGTGACACCTGAAAATGGCTTTAATTAACTCTCTATATTGCTCAAGCAATAACGATTTCTGTGAACATTGAAACAGTTAGTAACCTAAAGCAGCGTAACGTTTATTACAACTAGCACCTGAGCTAGAGTTATCCAAGTTCATAACTTTCTCATTAAGAAAGTTGCTAGTTGTGGTCTCTGTTCATGTTTTTATTAAAACAAAACATTATCAATTAACAATGCCTCTCCTTATGAGTTTGAAACCATCGGCATTTCTTACCACCGCTAGAGTGGCAAGGCAATCGATATGGTAAGTTCATAACGAAGGAAGACATTGCCTTGGATGTACTGTGGATATTGATACTTCAATTCACGACAGCTACTAGAAGCTTAACTTAATTTAAATTGAATCAGCGCTCTGTCTTTTGGCATCTAACATTCAAAATTATGCTTTGAAAATAACTAACTTGCACTGATGAAATTGATACTGACTTCCCTTCGTATGAAAAAAACATGGTCATTTGAAAGGAAGTATTTCCTGTGAAATTCCAATACTGCTTTCATTTAGAAACCCTTCAACTTTGTTACTAACTCTTTTACTGCTATTACTACAAACGACCAAGAAAATCTTTCCACAAGCTTCAGAAAGTAGACAGCATATAGACGCAATTTTTTAGAAAATATTTGTGCGGTGGAGAATGATGGTGAGGGTGAATAAAAGGTAGGACTCCTTCATCACAAATCCATGTTTTTGAGATTCTTAACAATTAGCACGATTCAATACTTCATGTCTACTAATTACTGGCCTGTCTGGTGACGCTGGAGAGTTCTGCTGTGATTGAAATGCCTGTACAAGTCATATCAATCCGCTCATGCCTGTAGTGAGGTACAAGTGATTGACAGTGACGTGACTAATCAATTTACCGAAAAGGAAATCACCAAAATTCAAGCGATCGAATCAAGCATGCCGAACTTAGTGAAAATTTGATATTACGGAGCGCATTATAACCCCTATGATAAAGTTGGCAACTTAGTGTAACTATTATTTAATCGAAGTAGGTTTCCTGTCTTAAATATATATGTCTTCTCCTGACCGATCTGTCTTCATATTTCGTATGTTTAAATGCTATCACAAGGTTGAAGTTTGTTCAAAAGTTTTTTATTAACAGTAGTGATATGACTCAGAGTTACACTCTCTTCTAGTAAATGGATGAAGCTAGTTGAGCTATTTGTGTTAAAAGTACGATTTGGACTGAAATTCGGAAATCTTTGAATGCATAATGCACCTTTCTTAAGAAGTAACGATATTTCTTTAGCTTGTGATTCAATTTGAACATCTTCTTTCTTTCTATCTTTCAAGTACTCGAGAAATTCGCTTTTCATTAAACAATTGCTTCCAAACAAAGTGGAAACAATCTCACTCATTTTCGCTACCGGAGAGATTCGAGTTCCCTTGTAGCTTCATGTTCACATATTTCGTGACCCATTTCAAAGGTGTCAGTTACCGAAAGAAAGCTAGCCAAGAAATGGAGCTCGTTTGCTGTTAAGAAAGGCTTTTTAGTCCCAAAAGGTCTGGAATTCTTACAGTTGATCTCTTGGAGAAATTTCTTATTTGATAGTTGGTAGAAAAAAAAATCGATTTACTAATATTATCATCAATGATTAATTCTACTTCCTATGACGCAGTACATTAAGGGCAGTGGAATGGTTTTGGACTACTAATATTTTCTCAAAAAAATCGATTTTAATGATAATTTCATCTCAAATATTTGCTGCACCTAACTAAATAGATTTTCTCTTAGAATAAAATAACTTAAACCGATCTCAAAGAGTCAAAATGTTGTCTACTTCTTGATCATGCGTTGTAAATTGTCTTAAAGAACAATGATGACATTATTTTAAAAGCGAAAATGCATATGTCCTCATTTCTCTTCAGTCAAGGATCATCGATAGATTGGGGCGGGGGTGGGATGGGGTGGGGAATATGTTTTTATTAAAAATTCGAATCTAGTACATTCGCATCCAAGAAAGTAATTAATGAAAGTCTTTCTCTTTCTGCTCAACTAAACTCAAGTTTCCTCCACTCTTTGGCAGTCATTGTTTTGTGTGCTGCGTGTGCGATTGTGAAATCTACAAATACATTTTTGGTCTTAAATCCGCTTAAACTGCAATTAAAGTATTCGACTCACGGGAATCAAGTAAAAAGAATCTGACAAAAATACCACTAAATTTATTTAATAGCATTTTCAAAGATGAAAAAAATTTTTAATCCAAATCATCTTAGGAATTTTGTCTCGTTTAATTTTCTTTTTCAAAACTTATAGTACTCAAATATCGAAAATGCTCACATACAATACCGTCTATTCTGCATTAAAATAAACGACTGAATGAAATATAGCGATTCACTTGGCCCCTGATCAATTCAACTTGCACTTAAACCAATTCATCTCTAAATCATGCTAATTTTACGAAGAATCGTACTTGAATGATTAAATCTCCTCTGGCTCTATTCACCGATTTACGCTCAAACAACCACCTTCAAGTTCCATCTTCCTCGCAACGTGTACACTTAGTCCGTTTGACTAAAGGTCGCAGCGTAAGTGAGATGCATAGTTTTCGAACTAAAGTCCTTTGAGAGGAGGGGAAATACAAGTCAGTGGATTCCACTCTTAATGGTCCAATTTTGTACAACTCCATTTGTGGTATCAGCAGCCCAGTCATATCAACTTTCACATCTTGAGATTTTGGGGAGAAAGTAGGAAGAACTGTTGAAATATTACGAATTCCATCTTCCTCTATGTTAGGGAGACTTAGCCATTGTGGTTGACCATTCAGCTTATGATTTGTGCGCCAATGGGAATCGGACCTGTGACCTCCCATGTGACAGACGAGTACGGGGAATATTAACTTTCGTACTTTAAGTACATTATAGTTCACTAAAGTGCGATCGTCTACAAAACTTCCTACTAATCTCTATTCAAAGGTAACGCTGGATGAATTGAACGAATAAAGGGGACTTTCGAAATTCGAAATATTATTTCATTTTATAATTTCCACCATCATTCATAAGCAAAATCTAGTAGTGAATGTTGGATCACTCTCTTCAATTCACGTACAAAATTTAGGAGAATAATTTTTAAATTAAATTGATAATAAATTCTACGCACACAAAGAGTTTCAATTTCCCGTGTTTTAATTTCACTAAACGTTGAACTCTGGTGGCTTTGTAGGACATTATATAGTAAAAAAAAAATTCTAATGTTCTTTTGCACAATTCTTAACCAAACAACATCAAACTGAGGATGACATGAAAAATGGGGAGATTTTTATGTTACATAATACTTAAAAAAGAAAATCTTTTGATATATTAAAATTATTTCCCTTGATAAATTATGTTGACTTTTATGGGCATTAAAATGATGTGTCTGAGAGCAGGAAAAGTACTGATATTTATAATTCATTATTTTGGACTCAATCACTGCTTATGTCAAATATCACTGGGCATTTACTTTAGGATAACTGTTAACACAATACTGGGTGCTTTATTTCATGAGCTCATTTAATTTGGAAATTATCTTAGCCTAAAAGAGCTAGGTGCATATCGTTAACTGTCTTTGCGTATGTTGCTGTTATAGAGTGAGTGAATGATTCGGAGTAAAATGACCAGGTGGAAAAATAAATTACTTGGTCAGCTAGGTCCAAATTTTGCAGATGTGAACTCTTTCGAGAAAGCTGAGCATGGGGGTGATGGTGGAGGGGGGGGGGAGGTAATTGGATGGTTCAAAGCAGCAAATAAACAAATCCAATGGTTTAATAGGGAATTGCAAATGCTAAAATGCAATGAAGGAGGTGTTTTTTTTGGTGAAATAATGTGACAATAGGTAAATGTTGTAAAAGAGAGAAAGCATAAATGTTCAGATGACTAACTGGCATCAAAAAAGTCAAAAGTGGACTTGTCACCTTAATAATAATAATAATAATACCGATACTAATCCAATATGTTCATTTATTCAAAAGATCACATAGAGAATGCGATTTAAACATTTGATGTTCCTTTGTAAAAAATAATTTAGAAAATGTCGATTTCAAGAAAATTCACAGGGTGGCCAAGATTAGGGAAATCCAATTTGAATACATTTAAGTAAACTAAGATTACATATTAATTTAAAAGTAGTAAAAATGCAGAACAACACCTAACTTCACGAAAGCGCTTAATATAATTTTCAATGCGATACAGGGGGTTACATAACCTCTTTTCCCTCGGCTACCCTGTAGAAACAGTCGAGTTGACAGTAAAGACAAGGCAAATATACCATGTGGCCAACATGAAGGAAGGTCCTTTTCCTCTATCCCTGACGTGTGGTGGCGTGATACTCTCTAAATAGAAATATAATAAGAATTCTCCACGTGAGCTCTTTTATCTTCACCACCCTATATTCCCGAAATTATAAATTTCCAGGGACTGGAAGGCAATTCCATCATCCCCTTCAAAGGTACATAACCGTAACTTCATAAGTGCTGTCAAACCTTTTTATTCTGCTCATGTTGGTCATATAACAACAGGGTGTCACAAAATAACACGAGTTTGGTACAGAGGAGTTCACCTATGTTCTCTAAATGAGGGATTGGATAGTGAAGTACTCCAAAACTATAAGAATGAAAACGCTATGTTTTATTTAAGTCCCGTTATTTACAATAGACTACTTACAAAAATGCCGAATTAAAATTAAGCACTCTGATGCATAAAAACTAAGTAAATAAATAAACAACGAAGTAAACAAAACCCATAATTATTCCAAAGTAATTTATTATAACTTTGCGAGCTGGCAACGTAATGGAGAGATAGGTGAGGTTTATTTTGCCAATTATTTGATGAAATAACTCGATTAAATTATCTTGGAGGATGTTTCAACAAATTTCTTAGTGAGTCGAATTCTGACACTCCTACCTTATAGCCAAACTTGACCAGAGAATTTGGTTATTTCTTCATTGGATGGGTTACGGAGCTGGGACTTTTGACTACACGTGGGCAAGTATGTACCCCCGCTACGCCACTGACGCGGCAAAATAGTCACTAGTTTTCCAGCTCTCTTGAACTTAGTATTTCGACAACGTGAAACTTCTAGAATGGAAAAGTAGCTACTGCGCCAAATTTCATTGGATTTTTTATTTGAAGAGTCCACAAAAATGAATAATCATAACCACTGATGATATATATATAATCATATTACAATATTATAATTTAATAATCAAAATGAAAAGTGCAGAGAACCGAGCTATTATTTTTCTTTTTTTTGTTGTCTTGGTTTGTTTGGCTAAATTCAACGGAAATAGAACAGTGTTTAGCAATGGTTGGGGGGAAATAAACCCAATTAATTCTCGATCTGTTTTTTTTTTCAAAGACAAGTTCGCAATTCTAGAATAAATGACAATTTGTTAATGTCTCTTTTCCTTCAACACAACCAAATGACGTAGCTTAAGTACATTTGCACAGAATTTAAAAGTGAAAACATTAATTGAAACAGTCGGCAAAAAAATTTACTTCGTAAAGAATTGGGAATTAATACGGGAATTTATAAGGCTGGAGAATGTTGATTTTTTATGAGCATGACACAGGCATTTAACTATCTAACTACAATTTGAGTCCTTCAAGATGCAAAGTGGTTCTCATGGGAAAAAATTCATTCATACAATAAGTACTTTTCTAATTTAAAAAAACTTTAACGGACACAATGTTGAGGGTTGTCTAAAATCAACTTTTTTCCAGTTTATGAAGTCCATGATTGAAAGAATACACCTTAACAATCTTCTGCTTGATTTGAAAGAATATCAACCTACTGTCGCTAAACCTACTTAGTCATGAAACCATACTGGAGGTGCGCTTAACGTATGGCTAAACATTTTGTTTACCACCGAATTTTTTCTCAAATTTTTAAATTTAAGTAATGCTGAATAAGAAATTAACCATCTTACCTAAACGAGTTTCCAGAGGTTCTGATTTCTGAAGCCCTGTCTCTCTGCCGACGGTTTTTAAACCAATTCGATACCTGTGTTGTTGTCAATCCCGTGAGTTCGGAGAGTTCGCGTTTCTCCCTCGGAGATGGGTAAGCATTGCGGTGGGTATACCAGTCACGTAGAATGGCCCTTGACTTCTCTTTGAAGCAGTAGCTCGTCTCCTCTCCATCCCAGATTGTCCTAGGCAGAGGAAACTTCCTACGTACTCTGTACTTTGCTACAGCACCTAGGGGTCGCCCTTTCACCCTCTCTTCTTCCATGTAATGAGCTTGCATCCACAGGTTTTGAAGTCGTTGATGCAGAGATTGGGAGAAAACATGACTCTCTAGAATGGCGTACATCTCCGTGAAACGACCCTCATTGAATGCCAGAGTCGCTTTAGCGGATAGAAGGTTCTCGTTATTACTACCTGTCTCTCCGATGTTTTCTATGAATTGTTTTAGTCTAGAGTAGTCCCCTGATTGTTGCAGGACATCGCAAATACATGAAATTTGCTCATTTGTGTAAGAGAGGGAAGATTGCTGATCGTAAATACTAGTATCAGTCCAGGATGATGAAGTAGAGTGATATGTTGTTGGTGGAGGTGGGTAATAGGAATTAGAAACCCCAGTTGGGGTAATTGAGTAGGGGTTGCCAGTTGTGGTAGACAGGGTGGCAATGGAATCTGATCGCTCTCCTTTTACTGATGCCGATGATGGCTGCGAGGAGGTGGCAGTGGCAATAAACATTACGCTCACTCACTTCTTCTTCCTGCCTCTCTCACTCTTGCAATGCTCAAGTTACTCAAGAATGATCTCTTATTTCACAACGCTTGTGCACATTAAATGTGATACCATGTGCACATATGCACATGTGAAGCGTGGATGCGTACGCGCCGCGTCAGACTTCTATTGGCGATTCGGCCGCTTTCGCATTGCGCCTTTAGCCAATGGCGTCGCACGATTTATCTTTGTCTCGTGCTGCTTGCAGGTAAATGGCTAGTGAAAGGGGAATATACCCTAAGGGTAGTTAATTATTCTGTAACAATAATTAAACGTTCTGTTTCACTCGCGATAGAGAAGTAATTAATTCAGAATTTGGGGGTGAATGGTCATTCCTGTTTATTTGAGCTACTGAGTGTCTATAGCAACTGATAATTTTGTTGCAGACTGTTGCGAAATATGGAGTGAGAGAGAGAAAGCTGGGATAGAACAGTAAATTGGACTGGGGTGGGGCTGAATGACCGAGCGTATGAGTGAAATATGACACCTGTTGCAAGTGAGTTTACAATTACGCTCTCTTGTTCACTCATTCGCCTTTATCGCTTTCGCAATGTGCGATAGCCCAAACGGTAGTAACGGTGGTGACTTTGACCTGAATTGTGGATAAGACACTTTGTGGATGATTGTCGGAGTTGTAGACGACAATTAGGTAATCTCTATGTAACTGAATGTTTATAGGCTAAATATGGCCTATCCCTATTTAAAATTTTATAACAACTACAAGAATCTAAGGCGGTAATGCAGCCGCTTATAGTCAACAGTACTTTAGAGAGGAATTAAATCCGGCTTTTCAATACTGACACCTGACCTCCCACCTGGAATTCACATTAAGCGGGGTTAAAATAACGAACTTTTTCCCAGTCGATGCCGATAAAGACCTTCTAAATAAGCACATCGGTGTCCTATATGAATAATTTATAAATTAATGGACAATTATTGCTGTTTAGTTCAAACTCCAACATCTCATTCACACAATACGAATGATAAATTAGCCTAAAAATGTAGAGGATTGTGTGTCTGAGCAGTATAACAATATTTCCGTCTTCCTCTGACTATGAAATGATGTGGAGACAAAATGCCAAGCACCAATGATTTGGTACATTAGTTCGCAAATTGATATGATTAGGTTTAATCATTTGGATTATATGGGCTTAGAAAAAAAAATTAATCAATTAAAAACGACAATAGGAACTTAGTAGTCAATCAAAAAGCACTGAATATCTTTAATAAGAATTTTGCTCATTGCTTCGAGTGAGATAGACCATAGAATTTGAAATTTGGGCCGGAAATACCCATTTTGTAAAATCGTGAACTCTGAATAAACAAAAAATTGTCTCCACGAGGTCTTACCACTTTGGCTTTATTCTCAGCGTCTATTACTTAAGGTGGTATTACTAATCTTAATCACTATCGCACTAAGAAAAATTGAAAAAAATTTCCACTTGGCTGCTAAATATCTAACCTCCCTAATCTTCATTTCCTAAAATTTATCTTTTGCCTTCACGAGACTTTTGTAAACGAAAACGTTTCGTCTTGTTAATTGCTCTCTATAACTTCTTTTATTTTGAAATACATGTTTGTATTTTTCCAGAATGTTTTTTAGTGGCTGTCTCAGTTTCAGTTAAGCAAACAATTCGGTGGACCCAACTAAACTGCTTGACATGTCCCATTCAATTACCACGGATAAAACAGTAAGAATTTTAGAGAATGATCGTGTATCCTATCCAGGGGGTATGCGATAGACCTACCTCCACGTGATGCTCCCTGAGCAACGTATACTCATACGGCAAAAGAGTCTATTAACCAGGAATTGACTTCTCACTTCAAACAGCCATCACCTCACTGTATGTCATATTCCACCATTTCAGCAGATCTCGCCTCACTTTTTCTCTACCCTTGTGTCGGTCTCTTTTACATCTTTGAAATACTCTGTTGTTCCCCCTCCCCCTCTCGAATTTTTTCACTTTAATGTTCCTTCCCTCTATGAAGCCTGAAGTCAACTAAAGGACTAAAAATAATGATCAAACGCCTGCCATTTAATAAAAATAAATATCCTTTCCATAATTCCATTGTTAATGCAATCTTAACGCCGCTTTCCTCAATTGGCCAATTAGCGAGTTTATATGGTTTATAAATATAATTTATTTATATCAAATGACAGGCTTTATGAGGGAGAGGAACATCAAATCGAAAAGAGGTCGAGAGGGGAGGGTGAACAGAAGAGTGTTTTAAAGATGTAAAAGAGGCAGATACAAAGGTAGATGAAAGGTAAGGTGAGTACTGTGAAAGTGGTCGAACATGACATACAGTGAGGTCATGATAGCTTGAACCCAGAAGTCAACTGCCGGTTTATAGACTTTTTTGCCGTATGAGCATACGTTGCCCAGGGTGCACTACGTGGAGGTAAGTCTATCGCACACCCCGGTTTATAAATATAATAAATTAACATAATTGAGTAACTCTCTCTCTCTCTCTTTCGTTAGATGAAAGTACGATCCCTTGTACGTAACCATGTCTAGGAGCTTATTACAGTTGTCAAGTGTGATTTAAGTCCGATTTGCTGCCAGAACCCTCCTTCTTGACCTTGCTGTTCGCGTACGTAGAATGATTACCGTCGTAGCAACAAACTTTGCTGACTGACCGTATCAGATTACACAACAGAAGAGTGAATTTTGTAATCGCATCTAGGCAGCAGATAGTATCAAAATAACGCACACACACACACGCACACAATTAAGTACTTTACTTTTCTGTCAGATTGAGCCAATAACATTTTTTCTCATTTCTTCCATCATTTTTTGGATTTTTTGTTTAGATATTTAGTTAACTCGAATTACAATGAACTCGACTAGGTAAAAAACATAATTATAAGTCCCATTTACAATACCATTGAAAATGATCAACAGACTCCAAACAGTGTGTACAAAATCTCCAGCCTGAATTTGGAGCAAAATAATCGTGCAATTTGTGAGATTAAGTAGTGAGAATAATTTTTACTGAAGATGTGGACGACTCGCTGCCCCCAAGAATATAATTAATGATGGTTTTTGATGAGCTGACTTCGTTACCTTCTAATCGACCCTTATTCCATTTCATACCTCACTTTTCAAGTCTTCCCCTAGGATAAAACTTGGAAGGTTGTTTTTTTGATTTGCCATGAGGAATAATGGCTTCATACGCAATATTTACTTATATCAAAATGTTAGGCCTTTTGATAATTATTGCTAGGCCTTTAGTTGACTTCGGGCTTCACAGAGGGGAGAGGCATCAAGGTCATAGAAAGTCGAGAGGGGGGTATAAAAAAGTGTTCCATAGGTGTAAACGAGACAGACAGACAGACATAAAGGTAGAGAAGAAGGTGAGGTGAGGTGAGTACTATGGAAGAAGTCGAATATGACATAGAGTTGGGTCCTGGTAGCTTAAGGTCAACTACTGGTTTATGGACGTGTTTGCCTTATGAGTATACGTTGTCCAGAGTGCTCCAAGCGGAGGTAAGTCTATAGCGCACTCCATAAGAAATATTTATTTATTTATTTATTGATATCGAATGGTAGGCGTCTTGATGGTTATCATTAGCCCCTTAGTTGACTTCAGGCTTCACAGAGGGGAAGGAACATCAAAGTGGAAAAAGTCGAGAGGGGGGGGACAGAAGAGTGTTTCAAAGATGTAAGGGACA